TGTGTTTGTCTTGAAGAAAAAAAGATAAGAAGTGCATTTAATTAGGACCTCAATATGGTCAATTCAGCCTCCGGCTCTAAAATTTCTATAAAATCTTGATTAGAGTCCTCCGATAACAACAGCTTTAATAACAAGATTGAATTAATAGAAATTTCACTCTGTTCCCATGGAAAACAATAAACACGTGTATTCAGGAGCAAGCTAACCTTTAATGAGTTGTCAATCAAATGCATTGATTTTGCACCTAAAATCTTTGATTTCATGGAACGATTTTCCCAATGCAGGGTGTTAATAGACTCTGAGGCTTCAGAGATTCTTAGAAACATTCGCAAATCTCGTTGGCAACAATGCCCATCTCTCTTATTTTCATATGCGTTTCCGTGGTTGCATCAAATCCAGTGGGCACAAAGCCCACAAACAAGCCGAGTTACCATGGTGAATGTTACCACAGAGATGCAGAACCTATGCACGTCTCATCGCCACGTTGATTCCTTCGGTGTCCACCTCTTTCCTCCTCTGCAGGGGAATAGCAAATTAAATAAAATGGCATGATGAATACATCAAAGCGGCTTGATTAAAAAGGAAAGGATTAAGTCTATATATAAAGACTGAAGAATGATGGGAAAGACAATATCACAATTTAACGGAATTACACTTATTGCCCTGACTGAAGAAGGGCCATGTAAATGATATTAAGGAGGATAAGCTTTTAAACACCTCTGAGACAGACTGCCGCTCTAACAGCTTCATTGGATTATCGTGCCATATCTGATGAAAAATGAGATATTCATGCTTTCATTGTGAAAGACATGCATTGTCGGTTCGGTTTCAGTATCTATGCGAGTGTGTCAGCTTGCGTTGTGATGAGCTGTGAAACCTCGTCATATGTGAAGATGGCCATCAATGTCTCTAATTCACTTCTCTCCCTCCTTCCATGTGCCCTTCAGACAGTCGCTGATCCTCACGCTGGTGGATAGACTCCACACAAACTGTTTTGTGACAGCGCTGTGCTTCCTCTTATCTAAAACCAGTGCTCTGCCATGACAATGCCGTCGTCAGGAGAACTCCCGGTTGAGTGTTTGCGCTTCCGCTAGTAAAAGCTTAGGGGGACTTATCTACTCATGCGTGATTACCATTTTAATAGGTTTATTTTCAAGTCAGGCTTTTGTGATGTTAAAAAGCATGTGAAAAGTAGAAAACTCTTCGTTTGACAAAGCTCAGGGTAAATGTATGGCTCCTTAATGAAGATGCATTTATTTTTGCTGTCTTGCTTGATTCTGTACGTACAGTATTTCATATGAGGGTATTTATTCAACTGTAGGAACTTTTGGCCAAGTAAAATGTTAGAATATAAAGTCTTCGAAAACACACTTTTTACACTCTTAGTAGTAATTTTCCCTTTTTGTTTCTTCTTATCAAAACAAAACTTCTTATGCACAAATAAATAGAATATATAATATGTTTAATATTATATTTTTTTAAGTTTTATTTTGCATATAATGTATATAATATTATCATAGAAACTATTAACTATTAACTATAACTATTATTCTATTAAGCATAGAATTGTTCAGGTGGTGGAAATGATGGCTGTGGCTGTGGAAGAGTTTTGATATTTAAAAAAATATATATATATATATATTCTTTAATATGAAATAATTCGCATTTTTATGGTAGATAGTGTCATAATTTAATATTGAAAGTCTGGGTCTGGGACAAAGGTAAAAGGGTTCATATAAAAATCTGTTCATTTGAATAGAAGTCAAACCCTGGGAGATGTATATGCCCAGAACTGAAAGACACTTGTTGAATTGGTGGGGATCCAGTCCTTGTTTGTGTGCTGAAACATCTTGAATGGTGAAGTGGAAATCAGTCAATGTCATTCAACAAATAAAATCATTCTGTTGCAATGCTCACTTTCCTCTCCCCATCCGCAAACCCAGACAGATACTTATGAATATGTATTGGCCGTATGATAATAGCGAAGCCAGGTTTCTTAAACAGCACTTTTTTGACAGGGATGATGGGTAAGGAACAATTGAACAGAGACTGTTTCCAATATTGGCCCCTCCAAATACATCAATAATAGTAAAGGATGTCAGGATCAGATAGGGCCTTATTTATGGAGGAAAGTTGTCACAGGATCTTGAGATGGCATGACCGTGTCTTTGTGTAAATGTGTGTGTTGTACAGTATGTGGGTGTGTGAATGTGGGTAGTATATGTTGCACCCACATGCAAGACACGAGCTCAGTCTGTTATGTGGGAGCTGTTTGACAGGGAGGAAAAGAATACCACCACGCACAACCCACTCGCAGACACGCTTTCCTGCACAAACAAGCTCTCCTGTTTATTCCAACTTACATCCACATACCTTGAAAGCAGAAGTGTAGTTTCTGCTTAACCACAATCACCAAATGCTATTGCAAAAATAATGAATGATTGTTTTCAAACAGGTTTCCCTACGAACACTCTGCCCATCTGCCAATGGTCAGGCAAGCAGAGTGCCCCACCCCAGAACTCACGCCATTGGCTGAGCCGCTGTTGCCGTGCGAGACAGGTCGGAATTCTCAAACAAACAGAGCTATGTTTTGATAGGGTCACAAAGACACAGTGTTCGTCCCACTAATGGTTTACTTTTAGTCGTCTCTGCATATCAAGCTGCTACAGGAGTATTTTAACATCCGAGTATTTTAACACTTTTAACAGGAGTATTTTAACACTTCAGCTTTAATTAACAAACTGCGGTAACTGTGGTAGTCAAATGCGAGTCCTGCTCATTGCCTTGGCCTCCTTGGAGGGAAATATATCCTTTCTCTCCTTTTCTATCTAGCTGTAATTTAACCAACAGGGGCACGATCATTGATGCCAAGCAACATGTCCTTGAATGGTAATGAAAAGCCATGAAGCAGATGCAGAAATTCTAGTTTACAATGTTGTTTACTCTGTAGGCACCTTGAATGTCATAAGCAGATGCGCGTACATTGATTTTTCTTTTCTCCAATACCAAGTAAACGATGCATGAAATGATTTGTTGGTTTGTTTTCTCGGCATACTCCTTAAAACTCTACTGTATTGTCTACCAGAAAAGGGGAGAAAGGGGAAAAATAAATAGGCTGCCAACAGTCACAACCATCATTCTGCCGTCAACACGTGAGTCAGTGTTAACCAGGCGGTGAGCTAACCGAGCGCGAGGCAGACAGAGATGAAACCGCACAACATGCTCCTCACCTGCTTCCGTGACTGAAAACTGACTGCAAAGAGGGGAAAACATGGTTAGACTGTAATTACAGTCTCATTTCTGTTTCATGCAGCAAACCTCAGTCATGCTTCCTCAAGCCAGACATATTGACAAGATTGAGTCTAGGCAGCTATCGCACCGGATCCGGCGCACACTGCAAACAAAGCCAGATGAAACAACATCAAGATCATTCTGTTAAGGGTTTTTTTTATGCTTCTTGGCCTGTATTCTTGTTTCCATTTGTGAACTGTCATTATCATGGTATACCTCGTCAAAATTATGTTAGCGTTGCACAGGAAAGAGAAGTGATCACAGAGGCAGATCTCAGAATTGGGCAATTTTCAGGTAAACGTGTGAATAAAAGGCACAATGTTGCTGGAAAATTGAGTCTGTTTGCAGCATCGAAGGTGTGTTGTATCTGTATTTTCACATGGGAGGACAACAGTTGTTGGGTTAAGGCGTAAAAAAAATGCAAAGAAAGGACGAGAGAGATGGAGAGAGAGATTAGAAGATGTCTGAAATGCTTTTGCTGCAGCTGGTTTTCTCTGTGGTTCTTCTACACACATATTCAGAGCACATTGCTACTTTTGGAAGAAGTCCCCTGTTTCACATAGATCTCACAGTAAGAGTCTAGTCAAATGCCTTCTTTTCCATACGGTCCCATAGCTCAGTGGGGATGTGACATAAATGTCAAGACTGTGTTATCTGTGCGAGTGCAGGCACCACTGAGCTCTGGACAGACCCGCCCTGTTATCCCTATTTTTCTTCTTTTTTTCTTCTCCATATCACCCCTCCCTCTTTGAATTCCTCTTCTTTTTCTGCATTAGGCTAATTTATAACATTTCTGGGTATTCTGATTTCTAATGTTGAGTCAATCTCTCTGTGAAAATGGCATAATGATGGATGGACACATGGATGCAGATCTGTACTCCAAATGGGTTGGCATGACATGTCAAGCAGTGACAGTGGTGCCCTGCAGTGTCACATGCTCCATCTAGAACTATTTTAAAACAGTTGTATGCTTCTCGTATAATTAGATAAATGCACTTTTTATGACTTGATATTAGCTTAGATATTAGTTAGATAGCATTGAATATTTGTACTCCTAAAATATATTTGTCACACTACAGGACTATTTAAATGGGTAGCTCACCACAGAATGAAAAATCTGTCATCATTTACTCACTAACACTACATAAAAGAAGATACTTTGAAATATTTGTTCTCCATGCAATTGAAGTAAATGGGGTCCACTGACAAAAACAGTTGACTAATTCTTCCAAAATATCTTCTTTTGTGTGTAAATGATAATGTTTTAGGTAAACTATGCCTTCAAATGAGCTGCAGAAACAGAAGGTGATTAAAAATGAAAGGGTGACTAAAAGACAGCATATAAAAATACAAACTATCCCCGAAATATACTCTACCTTCCAAAATGTTGGGGTCAATAAGGTTTTTTAATGTTTCTGAAAGTGTGTGTGTGTGTGTGTGTGTGTGTGTGTGTGTGTGTGTGTGTGTGTGTGTGTGTGTGTGCGTGCGTGCGTGCGTGCGTGCGTGCGTGCGTGCGTGCGTGCGTGCGTGCGTGCGTGCGTGCGTGCGTGCTCGTATTTGTGTGTGTGTTTTCATTCTGATGTTCCAACTTTTTGGCTTTTAAAATGACATACCCCAACCCCTAATATTGATGAAAATATTCAAAGTGTAGACACACAGGTAATTTATATTTCTGTATTGAAATGTTGAACATTCTTCTTCTTTTGCAGGTGTAAAGAGGGTTACCGTGGACTTCGTTGTGACCAGTTTGTGCCGAAGACGGACTCCATCTTATCTGACCCAAGTATGTACTTTTGTCACAGTGTGTTTTCTTTGAGGGATAATATGAGGGAATCTTTTTATTTTGTGTGGGTGGTACCTTTATGCAGGGATACAGGAAAACAGAATGTGGTTTGGATAAAAACAAGGTTATTGAGTTATTTCCATTCCTACTAGCATGAACAACACAAAGCCCTTTGGCGACAATATGCTTCATGATACAGCAAACCAAAGATGATAGAACATCATTTACCTGTTGTTTACTTGCTTTACAGTCTTAGTTTTAGAAGTTCCAGCCTCTCTAGCATCAGGTGAGTCTCTTAGCCTCCAGGGCTGAGAGTTCTCCACCGATTTCTCAGAACCGTGTTTTGCTTAAGTAGTTAATTATACCTCTCTCTCTAAGTGCTGAAATTGCCATCACCCTACAATGCCACACTCATGAAAATCAGAAAGCATTTGCATATGCTATTTTCTCTATAGGAAAGCTGATCTCTAACTCCTGCAGGAGCAGAATTTTTTTAGCGTGACAAATATAGTGCGTAACCCGTTTACATTTGTTGTCTGATTCTAACAAGGCTCAGAGTGGCAACGAAATGTGATCAAATGACTATTTTTCATGAAGAGTACATTTCCCATGTCATTAGGAAAGTCCCTGAATGAAAGTAATTGCTTTGCTAATTTTAGGTCGATGCTAAAGTCATTAGCCATTTCTGTGCTCAATGAGCTAGGAGAGTGTCTCACAGGTTAAAAAAGGACAGTGGAGTACAAGTAGCCAAGGGGAAGTTCACTGATGGCGTAAGTCACTGAAAAAGCTGTCAAAGAGAGATGTTTGCTTTCTTACAGGTTAGTAATGGAAAGATTTGTGAAACCTCACAAAGCCTTGACTCATAAACCCTTCTTCCTGTGACTCAACTTTCCGAGAGCTATTATACCAATATGAAAGGAAGTGTACAAGCCTTGGAGGGAGAAAGCGGAGAAAAGAGATGTCCAGCGCGAGATGAATCTGCAACACGGCTGTTTCTGAGTGCCTAGCGTTGTATGAATTGTCTAGCTTTTGGGGGGTGATCTTTTACAGCGAGTGATACGGCAACCTAAACTCCCATTTAGTGCACTTTGAGTTGCTGACCCTACTGAGTGGCTAGTAATGGGATCTTTTTGTAGCCTTTGTGTCCCTGATACTTCTCTTTCCTATCTGATTTTCTCAATGAGAGCATTCATATTCCTGCTATCCATCAATCCCCAAGATGGAGCCCTCATCTCTAGCAGTGCCATCATCTCCTTCACGGATACACCTACACAATCCTGCTGGTATTGCCTCCTCCACCCTTCTGTTGACACCGTTTAGCATTGAAGCAATTTTAGGCCACTGCTGTTGCAAATCGGCTAAATGGCTGAAGCTTTCGGCATCTATAGTTTGTTTTTTTATTTTGTTGTATCCACCTATTCAACATTGATAGAAATGAGCCAGTTAATCCAAATTATGTGCTTGAATTACAATCCATTCCTGCCATGGAAACAAACACAAGAGGCTTTGGAGCGGCCCGCATGAGGAGCAATCACAGTGCTCAATATCTTATGTCAAATTACAGCCTTGACTATTTTTTCATAGCCCATTATGTTTCCGATGTATCTTTATTCTACCCTATAGAGGCCAATGTTTGTTTTTCCCCGTTCCTGGTTTGAGCCTGATGTGTTTGGTCCAGTGCATCTTTATTCACTTAACCCACCAAATGGGTGGGGGGGGAGGGGGGCTGGGGGGGGGGCTTGGCTTTATCTGCCACCTAGTCTTTTGTCCCCTGAGCTTTTTCACAATCTATCTCTGCTCAACACACTAGCACAAATCATCCGTCGACTGTCTTTTTTGTCTCCATATCAACTACCACACAAATAAGATGAGAAAAGACCCTCGCTTCTGCTTGGCCCCTATCTCCCCCCTGCTCCCTGGCAAAGGATAACACTGTGGGTCAGCGACTGCAGAAACCCCACTGCTTAATATGAGGAATGCTGTTGACTTTCTTTCAACTTTTTAGCCTGCATTGTATGAGCGATGGTGTTAGAGGAGTAGTTCACCCAAAAATGAAACCATTTCTCACCCTCGTGTTTTTTTTTGTTTTTTTTTTTAAAGCTATACAACTTTCGTTCTTCCACAGAACACAAAAGGAGAAAATTTGTTTTTATGCTTTTTTTAAGGACTGACGTTTTCAAGCTATAAAAAGTATCAAATGATCCACATAAATCATGCACTAGACTTCAGTCAGGGAAGATGCCATATTGAATTTTACATGTAGGAAAACAAGCCTGTGAGGAATAGACTTTCACTCATTTATAAAGGTATAGATCACATGTAATTTTTAAACTCACACCTTTCCAAACTGTTTTGTGGAGTTTTTGTATACTGAATACATTTTTTTAGCCAGGAGTTTGACAGGCAATCTGACCAATCATGACGCCCGAATCCACCATTTTGTCCGACAAACAACGATCTGTCACCACACATTAAAGAGACACAAAACTGGGGGTCTTTGCAAAGGGTCAATTGGAATTGCATGTAAAATCCATTGAACTTACTGTATCCCTCACAGCCTCGTTTTCATTCCCGTCAAAATGAAATATGGCACTACCCTGATCAAGGTCTATATTCCAAGTCTTTTTAAAGCCATAGCTTTTTGCAAAACAACATACCTAAATTTAAGTTCATGTGAAAAGCAATGTTGTCCGATTCATGAACTAATTACTCTTTTGAATGTAATCTTTTTAATGAGTTTAATTGAGTTTTTTTATTTAGTTCACAAAAATGATCTAAATTATTTGTTCATGAATCTCACTCATTTGGTTATCAAGTTCTGGTGGTAGTGGTTAAAAGCTCACTGGAGGGGACAATTTTCAAAAGCTATGTTTTTTGCGAAAAGCTATTGTACATCTTCAGAAGACTTAAAGTCTATATATAGTGCATATGTCGTATGGACCACTTTTATGAAGATGTTGTGAAGCACCAGCTCCTTTCATACAACTGTACAAACACGAGTGACAAGAAACAAGGTGAGTAAATGACACATTTTTGGACTATCCCCCATGTGAACAAGGAGTTTGGTTAGTGGAGCCATTTTCAGAGCTGTGGAAAAAAACCTGGGGTTCAGCCGGTGACTCGAGGGAGACGGATTTCACGACTGACTTGCTCAGGGGACAGCGGCCCCTCTCATTTAGGTATTTATCTCTCGAGCATTAGGCTATGTAAGTAAGCCGCACAAAGGAGCTTTTACCTATTGCTCCAACTAACGGAAGGATTAAGGATTTGATTCATTTTTGTACTTCTTCCACTCAGTCTCTGAGCGACTGACGTTGATTCAGTGCACTGGATGCCATTCCTCTTCGACGGCGTAAATGTCTCCCAGGGGTGACGGGACAACGGATGGGAGCCTGTGGTTTATGGGAGCAGTACATCAGGAGCTTGCTGCCAGGATTCGAGGAATGCATGCATATCCGTGCTTAATGACTTTGTGTGTGTGGCTCATGACAGCACAGCGATTATGACAGGATGAATGTGGCAGTTATTGTGGGCAATCAGAGGCAGCCGCAGCATGAATGGGCCAAGCAATGCTGGCAGTAGGGATACGACAGAACCGCTGGATCATCGCCTGGGCCTTTTGTCTCACAGAGCTGTGTTGTGTTTTTTAAAAATCTTACCCGATCCCACAACACACAGCGAATTCAATAGGCCCAGAGGAGAGACTCTGTGCAAAAATCTTGGGTAGGAGTATTACTAGCAATTCTGCTTACATTAGCATTTAAAACAACCTTTTAAGCGATTCCACATACTTCATTGTTCCTGCACTGTGCTGCGGCTGCCAATAACAAGGGCTCTGTCCTTATTCACCATGAATTTAAATCATAAGCAGGAATTGTTTAGGCTAAAACTACCACTCTTTGCATTCTCATTAAGAACTGCTGCACGACCTCTTTGAGAGGGGAAAAAAAAGACATTTCAGCTCATTATTTTCCCACAGATCATGTTTAAATTGCAGCATGAATATATGCAAAAACATGTGGCGTTGAAAATTGAGGCTGCTATGTGGCAATTTATCATTTGACAGAGGGTTTTCTGTCACTGGGTTTGATTTCTGTTTTTTCCCCTCTAAGTATGTCCACTAAAATAATCTTTCTCGGGCAAGCCGCAGTCTATTTAAAAACCTTAGACCACCTCTGTCAGAAAAGCAATTAAGTGTGAGGGTTTCATTTTAATTTAAATGAGATTATATTACAGTGGCTTGAAAAAGGGGACTATTCAAATGAAAAGAGCATGAGTGTTCTTCTCTTTATCAGGAACAGCAGTTCTGAGATAGAGAGAGAGAGAGAGAGAGAGAGAGAGAGAGAGAGAGAGAGAGAGAGAGAGAGAGAGAGAGAGAGAGAGAGAGAGAGAGAGAGAGAGAGAGAGAGAGAGAGAGAGAGAGAGAGAGAGAGAGAGAGAGAGACTGACGGTATTTAGAGAGGCGAATTGCTTGTCCATTGCTCTGCTGGAGAAGACTCCCTTAAAGAGGAGGCATATTGGTTCGAAGCCTTCAGATGAATTAATAACATTTTTCAACTAGAAAAGACAATTATAAGCATCTCCTGGGCATTACAGTTGACAGAGGCATTTCTAAAGCCCATCCCTGACTAATCTGGCTTCTCTTGGGAAGCGTAGCTATTCTACAGGCAACTAACAGGCCTTTATGTGCTTTATATTATAAACTGCTTCACACTCTTCACTATTGTGACTGCTCGTATCTTGGGTAATCAAGAGAAAGCTATTTTTGTTGTCGAAACGATGCCGCTACAGAATCCTTTCTCTTTCTGAACAATGAGCAGTTTTAGTTGACAAAACTCGCTTGCTTTTTATTCACGGTTACTATCTGGGTGATTTAATACGTCTTTGTTTGTGGAAATCTGTATGATAACATCTTTCTCCCTGTTTCTATCTTTTTCTCCGTCTGTTTAACCACTTGTCTCTTGTTTGTTATCTCTCCCTGAAGCAGCAGATGAGCTGGGAATTGAGTTTATGGGTAAGGAAATGTATATGAAATTATATTATGATTTTTATATATTTTAAAAAAATATTTTTTTCATTAAATAATGGTTTAATTTTATATTTATATTATTAATATTGATATTTTATGACCCCATTTTATTTGAGAGACTACATGGACTATTTTGTACGTTTAAAAATGCATTCATCACACCACAGAACCATGTAACTAGGTTACAAACTGTTATTATAAATGACTTAAAAGAATATAAGGCTCTTTCCTATATACATTCATATAAATTGAAACTTTGAAAGAAAAGCACACACAAGCTTCTCCCATTCTTGACCAACATTAATGTATACAAACAAACATGATGCTCTCTGTTCCTCATAGAAGCTTAATGTTCTTGAGTTTCCATGGAAACAGAGCAAAAGAAATCTATTGTAAAGGCACAGGGCAGCATCTGTATGGGCGATGCAGTCTGAGTGGCTTATGCGCATACATGTCTGCTTGTACTCGCCTGTGTATGTGGCTGTTAATTAACGCAAAGCCTCGAGGTGTGCACCTTGCTGAGGTGGCATGTTGCATAGCAAGTCTCTGGGGATAAGAAATATCACACAGCCAAGGGCTAAATACATGCCTTTACCCTAACAATCCACAGTATCCACAGACTTAAAGCAGTGTCAACAATCAGGAGCCCAAAAAACTGCTGTGAAAATGAATTTTCCACAAGCTTTCCATCCTGCCCTACCGTCCTCTCTCATGTGCCTGACAACTGAAAGCGTTTCTTTAAGTGAACGAGTGAATCCTGTGAAGTTTTCCATTAGTCGTGCTTCACACGCTCGCCTCAAGATTCCTCAAAAACTGTCAGAGAAGGAGAGATAGCTTAAGTGGAACTGATATGCATTTCTGCTTCTCGGGAATGACTGCCTCAGTGATTTTAATCTGGATGGTGAGGGAGTCCAGTTGTTAGCCATTATGGAGCATGTTTTCTGTGAGAGAGAGAGGTGGTGGTGGTGGTGGGGGGGGGGGGGGGGGGGGGGGGGGGTGGGGGTGTTGAGTGCACGTGTGCATGAATGGTCAGCTCTGTGCATTTGTGGCATGAGAGACCATTTCACATGGGTGTATGTTTGTGAGGGAGTCTAGCCATCTGCTTGCAGAGACTCTCCACCAAACTACGGCTCAATATCCTGTGAGGACTAGTCTTTCAGTCCCTGCTATCCCACTGCCTGTTTTTTGTCTTCCACAGGTGAATTTTTTACAGTTTTGGGTGGCTTGTTTCTGCCCAAGATTGATCCATATAGATTATTCACTGAGTCTGATGCAGTAGAACTACCTTAAGCTCAGACCTGAACCTCTTTTAATGCCTTTACGATGCATTGGATCACCGGATATAAGTCACACAACAAATCTCACCATCAATGTTCAGACATCTAGTGGAACTTCTCCCAGAAGACTTGAAGTTGTTAGGGAGGATCAGCTCCCTATTAATCAGGGTTGTCATCATTTCAATTTAAATTGAGAATGCTCCTTAAAATCCACCACATGAGTTTGGTTGTTCAAGACAAACTTTGAATGACAGCTTGATAAAGCCTTTTTTTTTTGTATTTTACAGGTCGTCGAGAAAGACAAGTAGAGCTAATGCATTGAATATAAGGGATGTTATCGAAATATCTAAGCCCATTTCACTTCCAGTTTTCATCTCAGAACTATGACAGCTTGATAGGTGCTGTTTTCAGACGCTCCCGTAAATATTTGTCTGAGCGCTCTATGAAGAGAGTCAAAGGTTTCTTTTTACAACAAGTTTTTGCAGTGTTAAGCATTGCAACCAATCATAAACATGTATGTTGAGTGTGTGAACAAAATGGTCACACAGAGGTGTTTTAGGTAGTCAGTGGCGCATCCACTCAAAATTCTGGAGTTGTCATTCACCACGCTCACTTACTGTGTTCTACACATTTCTGAATCATTGATTCCTTTCACACAGCAATTCCGGTAAATTACCGTAAAATTGCCAGAACGACTTTACCGGTAAATTTACAAATGTGCTGTTCACACAAGCAACAAAATTCTGGCTTTTTACACTGTAAACCCTAATGCTCAAAATAATTAATTGGTTTGAGTAGGACAAACTTAAATTAAACGAATTAGTTCAGTCAAATTAATTTTTATGAGTATTTAGCACTTTCTTTTTCTTTCAAGTTCACAGAACTGATATATTTTAAGTAAACTGAACTGGTTCATTGTTTTGAGTTTTATGAAATTATTTATTTTAATTTAGACGAACTTAAGTTTAACTGAAACGGCTGGATATCTATTTCCCAGCATGCTTTGCCGATGGCACTCGAAAGGGAGAGTAAATGTTAAAATTAAGTGTAATATAATGGTTTTTTTTGTGTAAGATTAATGTTAAGTGTGAGATTTAGTCGTGATTAATGTTTTGTTATGCTAATTTAGAAGAATTTCTGTTAATGTTGGCTTTAGGATAGTTACCATCATGGTGACAAGTGGTGCATGCAGCTTGATTTGAGAGAATCCCTTTATATTGTTGCGCTCATACAGCAAGTGTTTCTGTATAACATACTATTGCTAATATGTTAGCATTTACTACGTTAGGAGATTAGCTTTTTAAAGCTAACTAAGTTTATACTATTAAAAGTGTTTTGAGTTCTGCCAACTTATCCGGGTTTAAAGTGTACTTCATAGATTTAAGTTATATTAACTGAATGGAATTAGTACTATTAACTTTATTTACCCAAGTTATCTTAACAATATGTTATTGAGTTACTTGGACACAAATCAAATATTTTTTTATGCTTAAATTGTTTGAGTTAATAAACTTAAATGATTTAAGGCAATCGGTTTCCTCAAACGGTTTGAGTTGAACTAACTCATCAGGTTTTACAGTGTACCAGTAACAGTCCATTCACGCATCAGTTCCAAAATACCGGTAAACTCTGTGATGATGTCATTAACTTGAGGTGACCTCTAAAGTTGTTGACAAATCTCTTAATTCGCCCAGACGAGGAGAAGAGGTTAAGTTTCGGTATCACTCCAATTTGAAGACATTTGTAAACAGTCCTGAGTAAACGCGTAATCTGCGTCATAATTTTATTAATGGCCCAGAGCCGTTGCTCTTTCAACGGCTTCCGATTGGCCCAAATCACTTCTTACGTCAGTGCGTTCTGACCTCGTACGTGCAAAATACCAGTAATCTTCATTCCGTGTTCACACAGCGCATATACCAGTAATTTACTGGTAATGTTACAACTTCCCTTACTAGTAAATTCCCGGAACCAATTTACCTGTATATTTGAAAAGGTCCTGTTCACATTTGATCTGTTACCGGTAATTTACCATTAAAGACTGTATATGTGAAAGGGGCTATTGTCTTATAACCGACAAAGTGTAAACTCGATTTAAATAAGAGATTAATATTTGGCTATATCGCCCAGCCCTACAGAAAAGCATTTATTTTAATTTTATGGACCAAGAAGAAAGAATACATTTCCCAGCATGCTATTAACTTATTTTTATTGTTATTAAATCAGTCAATTCCACTTTGTGTAATGTAATGTCAGGTATATCCAGTTCAATAGTGCTGGTTTCCTATAAACCGATCATTAGACAGATTCTTCCGGCAAGCGCATTTTAAGCCTGTCTGACCACTGACACATGAATGTTTAGCTGACAGCTCCCTGCATGTTTCTCTGCTCTCTATCCCCCATCATCAAATCAAATGTGATTGTGTGCACATTTTTGTGTGCTAGTTAAATACGCCAAAATGGTATAACTAGCCAATTAGTTTTGAAACAGTCCCTTTCCAATCATCTCTAAAAATTCAGATTCTCTTGCACTGGGAATGTTTCCATTATTAAATCGTTGAATTTTCCTTACAACCTATAAGAGCCAATTAGCTACATTGGGTTATTTTGTTCAATCTAGACTGGCAAAGTGATTATGACTGTGAATAAAGCCTGAAGATGAGTGTGTGCTGTCCTTGTCTGTCTTTTCAGAGAGTGCAGAAACCTATCAGAGACAGATTTTGTCCATCTTCAGCATAGCCATGGGGATTAGCTTGCTAGGAGTGGCTTGCATGGCTCTTTACTGCAAAAACAAGTGAGTCCAAAGTCCAAACCATCCTTGGAAGCTAGAATAACATTGTTTCAACACAATAACAAGAGATGTTGTGGATCAGTGACATGATGGTAATGTTTTCATCCTGTCTGGTAATTTATTCAAACATATGATACATTAAAAATACAATTCATAACGACTTAGACCTCTTCCAATTTGAAAATGAAATTCTTGAGAAGAAAACGGTATCATAATCATAATTTCTTTTAAAAAAACAAAACATATTTTAACAAATTGAATTAAAACATTTTTTTTACATACATTTCATTTGTCACGGTCAGTAAAATCACAAAATAATAATAATAATAATTATAATTTGGCCTTTTCATGACAAGGTTAGTTGTCCCCCCAAGTAACCCCCCAAGAACGTAATAACATTTTGAAATGATTAATTCAAGATATTTGTTGTAATAACTCTGTTGAAAGTAATAATTAAGATTATATTTGTATTATATTTTTTTTAAATAATATGAAATCAACATGAAAAGAAAGGGTACATTTATAAGTATTTGTATGTTTTAAACTATATTAATAAAAGATTATTGCTTTTCTCTTTTCTATCATTGACATTTCTCATTGCACGAAATGAAATTGTGTTGTTTAAAAATGTATTAACACTTTGCAGGAGACAAAGAGAGAAGCATCGAGCCCATCTGACCGAAATTCGCAACTTGAGAGACTGTACTGTCAACGCCTCTGGTCTCATGTCTAAATCCAGCCCCAGACTCGAGAGCACCCTCCAGCTTCAAAAGGTGACGCCTCGCAGCTACTGTTTGTTTATGTTTCAGAGCAAATTTGCATGATGTCCACATTTGTGCTGACAGTCCGCATAATGATCACTTATCCGAAAAAAGCCTACATCCCCGCACCCATGCATATACCAAATATATATGTGTACGGTCAGAAAACAAGCCACCCACGTGTGCTGTTATGGAGATTCAAATAAAGTCCCCTGTGCATAACAGTCACTAGTAATGAATACAATTGGCCAGCAGGGAGCTGAAGGACTGATGCCCTCCTCGGCTTTACTGCTTTCCCACCTGCTCCGAAGATCCCTCAAGCTGACAGAAATAACACTGCATGCAGCTCGGGGAGTAAACACTGCATATATCTGATGCAACAGTCAAAGGCAGCCGGCCACCTAGCTGATGAAGAACTGGATGAATAGAGTTGCATTATCCAAACTGGAAGATTAGTCTCTCTTTGGTGCCACTTTGGGTTCATCCTCATCCCGTACATAAATGTTGACGGCTCACGTTCCCGTGTGCACTGCCAGGTCCAATGAGAGTGAAGAATCAAGCCTCAATTATTCCCAATGGTTTACCTTAACATTTCCTTGCAAATGCTTTTATACCAAAGTAATTTGTACGAAAGTGCATATACTGCGTAAATGACACAGGGTGTAGCGTATCAGATCAGTGTCACTCTTGCTAATCCAAGCATGCAGGGAAAACCTTTAATTGGACCGCTTATATAATCGTCACAAAAATCTGCTGACCCAGCAGCAGACGACTATAAAATTAATTTATAAAGAGGCTGAGAGAGGGAGCTCCAATCTTTTCTTCAGACTTCACTTGAATTCTGCATGTTTCATACCCCCACCCCACAGGTTTTTTTTTTACATTTACAGCAGCCAGTACTGCTGTTCTGCTTCTCCTCCTCTGAGTTTTCTCGCCCTGCTGAGGCGATGAAGGGGTGGTCAGAAATCATCCAATTTTCTTGTTGGAGAGAAGAACAATGCTAACAGGTCCCCAAGGAAGCAGCAGTGTTAGAAGGACATGCTTTTTCAGCTGTAAGGCCCCAAACTAGTTTAAAGTCAAACTCAATCGTTTTAATGATGTTCCACAGGACAGGCAGAGGGAGGGAGATTTCAATAACTGGAATAACAGCATTATCGACTGTCTTTTTTTAGCTCGGGCAACATTGGGGGGTATGGGATACTTATTGCGGGCTGCTCTCAGAGTGCTGTGTTGTAGTAAGATAATGGCTTTAATTTTAAGAAGGGGGAACAGAAAAAAATACTTCAGGAATTCATTAATGTAATCTTCTCTGGGATTAATTCCCGACTGGGGTAGAAAAGGGTGAATAATCAGTGTGTCTCGCTTAATCTGCAGTTTATATGTAAAGTCTAAATTAAAGTGGCTTTCTCTCACTGAGGGGCCTGTATATCGCAGAGTGAGCATCTATATTCAGCCTCTTTTCAGAGTTCATGATCCCTTTATTTCGTCTTTGGCCTGTGCATGTGTGTTCCTACTTTATCTGTCTGTACAAGTGAGGGGAAGTGAGATGAGATGCTGTACCACACAAGAGTAATCATACATGTCATTTGCGGCGGGTCGTGTCCACACCACTTCATGAAATAGCTTGAGGCAGGGATGTGTATAGTACAGAGGAAACTTCTGAGCTGGCGTTTTCATTTTGTTAGTGCGTGTTATAACGAGTGGCAATCCGGCGCTGGAATTAGATTTTAATGTTTTGCTGAGTGGTTGTTGCAGTTCTCATCGTTGGTGGAAAGCCAGTCCGTTCTAGTCACGAAACAAAATGCAAACAAATGTGTTCCCATTCCTCATATCACTACCATTCAAAAGTGAAAGAAAGAAATGAATGCTTTTTTTCAGCTTAGGACCCATTAAATTGATCGAAAATAACAGCAAAGACTTTTATACTGTCACAGATTTCTATTTCAAATAAATGCGTTTATACACAGCAATATTAAGCAGCACAACTGTATCAACATTGATGATAATAAGAAATGTTTCTTGAGCTCTAAATCAGAATATCAAAATGATTTTCATTTTCAATGATTTCCTTTTTACTGCATTTTGATCAAATAAATTCAACCTTGGTCAGCATAACATACTTAAAAATTGTACTGACCCCAAACATGTAGTGAATGTACACTACAGTTTAGCTAAAATAATAGGATGATATTAGGATGGACCCCAAATCAAATGTAAAAAAAAAATATTTACTGCTGGACCAACACATTATATTCAAGCCCCAGTCGCTGATCCATGCAGACCTACAAAATCCTGGCCAGACAGTGGCAGATACAAGAATGAAGTTGTCAAATGAAATGTCACAAAATTATTCAGGCATGTGAACTTTGTTTGAAAGAGTGATTGCTCTCTCAATCCAGTGTGTAATGATAATTTAGCAAGTCAATGTGCTATTGAAATTGTTTTAAATAATTCTATGGACATTTCTAATTGCAATGTTACGTTTACATTTCAAATTTGACTAGGGTATGAACATATGCTCTACTACAGACCGGATCTGCCTAATCAAAACCATAAAAGATAATTCAAAATTATTTTTGCATAACCTAGTTAATATTCATGAAGTGAGCCTTTAACATTTCACGACATCACAGCCAGCACTTCTGTGCATCCACTCATCCAACTTTCTCACTTTCTAACTCTCACTGTGTTGACACCCATGAGACATTCACACATGGATAGAAAGACCCATGAGTCATACATGCATAGGAATGATAATCAATGAGGTCATCTATTATATAGTTCTGTTCACTTGCAATAATATCTTTTATTTCCTGTTCGTCTCTACAGAGCAGAAGAGCCCATGGTTTCTCCTCTCCACAGGCGGCACGCATAGTTCTCAACAGCTCTAAAGTCTCCCTACCAAATCATAATCGCAGTCTCTCCATGGGGAAGCGCTGCAGGTACTTTCCCTGAGCTTCACATCTATTGTAAAACTTCTGACACTCTGTCCTTTTCCACAGAAGTGAAAGCAATGGAGGAAGAAATTTAATCAGCTCTCAAAATGGCACCATATGTTAACGTCAAAAATGAACCACTTAAAAGAATTCCAATAATTGTAATTGGTAACAACCATGATGATTAGCATTTCTGAATTATCGTGGAATAAACTTTTTCCACAGAAGTAATTTACAAGCATTTATTTATCTTGAATTCTAGCATTTGAGCCAGGTGGTAATCTAAGGCTGTCTTGTATGAAATTTTTGAAATAATCTGTGATCTTTGTCTTCTCACTTTGGAAGCTTTTATATGTTTCTACAGAAGCTGCTCCTTCTCCTCAAGTCCCGCCCTAAAACACAAGGTAACCAATTATCGAGCTGTCTCAAAGTGGACTCCGCCCATCTCCAGAGCGGGCCATCATTTCATTGGAGGATCTCGAGATTCTCTTCATTCCTATAAACATCTCCAGGAGGTGGAGGTCAATGAGGTGATGCCACAATCTTTGAGAAGGTGAGCAATAAAATGCAACAAAATGACAAACACAAAGATTTTTTTTTTTTTTGCTCTAACTGCAATACTTTTTAGCACAGTGTAGATTATTTTCATCAGATTCTTAAGGGTTTATGTGTATGTTTTTAACTACTGCCACTTTTATGTTCCAGTGGTTGTTTGTTTGGTTGGTTGGTTTTTAATTGCCTTCATTATTTATTTTAGCAATTCAGATGTGTTTATGCCTGTTTTTTATTACCCATGTTTTATACCAGACTTTCAATCTTTAAACACAAAAATCCATTGTAAAAATATTAATTACATTGTTAAAACTTAGATTATGCCCTAATCTAAGGATGCAATAACAACGAATGCAATAAACCAATCAGGGTGTGCTATTGTCAAATTATGCAAAGAAAAGAATTGTACGCATTAATAATACATAAAAGGCTAGTTATAAAAACAAATATGATTTCCATCACCATCATTTTCATCATCATTTGAAATGTGATGGAAATTACATTTCTTGGGTCAGAAAAGGGGTTTGGAGAAAATGATACAATTCTCCTGCAATGCATGTAAAGTTCAAAAGTTTGGGGTCAGTACGATTTAAAAAATAATAATAATTGCATTAAATTGCTCAAAAAAAGACAGTAAAAATATTTCTAATTTATGCTGTTTTGACTTTCTATTCTTCAAAGAATCCTAAAAAATGTATCCTGGTTTCCACAAAAATATTAAGCAGCATAACCATTTTAAACTGATAATAGGAAATGTTACTTGAGGAATAATGGCTGTTGAAAATTCAACATTGCCATCACAGGATAAATTAAAATAGAAAACAGTTTACATTGTAATAAATCACAATAGTAGCCTACTGTTGTACTGTATTTTTAATCAAATAAACACAGCATTGGTTACCATAAGAGAATTCTTTCAAAAACATTTTAAAAATCTTACCAACCACAAACTTTTGGACATAGTTTGACATTGTTTGTAGACAAAAATAAGATTGAGAGAGCTTGCAACTGAAGAAAACACATGCAAATAGAAAAAAACACTTGCAAATTAAGAAAACATCTTCATCAGTTTGAAAACGCATGTGCTGCAAATACTCACGATGCAACCAAATACAGAAACGTGCTGCTATACCTATACCTTCAGTTAAATAGGGTGTATGTGCACAAATAGCACTTAAGGTCCGTTCACACCAAGAATTATAACTAAAACAATAACTATATTAGCGTGGACGATAACGTTCTGTTTATGTAATGCGTGCGCTGCAGTTCTGTCGTCCGTCGCTTTAGATTTTAAGCAGGATGGATTCTGGTTTGTTGTTATTGTTTTTATCATTCATCAGCTTGAAAACATGGTTCTGGAAGTGATTCCAACTATACTGATTCTAACTATTCTTTATTGTTAGAACAACGTCTTTATCATTATCGTTATAGTTATCGTCCTTGGTGTGAACGGGCCTTTACTCTTGAATTTCCGAGCAATGCTCTTATTACCATGCCAACTTGATCCAGCTTCACAGCGACTTGTAAACTCTGCTCACTGCCAAACTCTCTCTATTTGACCTATTTCCATAATTTACATTCTTAAACAGTGCCGCTTTGAGCTTGGAGACTCATTTAAGGGATGTGATCAAGCACATATGCACTGACACGCTTACAGAATGGGGTTTTCTTTTTCCCAGTGTGTCAGCGGCAGGGATCTCGTTTTTTTCCCCGTTTTATTTTGTTAAGTCTGCTGGGTTACCTCGACTTTTGCTTAATTAATTTAAGTATGTGTCTGAAAGCACAACCAGTGGGTTACCCCTCTATAGGGGTCCACAGTATTCAGCTATTGTTATTATTGTTCTTGATTAATTAAAAATTGATAAGCCTTTCTGAACCTTTCTTAGTCCAGTCTTGGCCGGCCCAGAGAGAGAGACAAGCTGGTGCTGAACTGACCTATTTCTAGACTTAACTGCTTTAAAACACCAACACCATCCCCGAACCTTTCTCTTGTTGCCATGGAGACACCCTCTAGTCTAATGGTGGGGGGAAAAAAAGAAGTGAGGAGAGGGGGGAAGATGGGCACGCACAGCTCGCTTATTCCCCTCACTATGACAGCAGGACCCCCACAGAATGTTGTCAGTGTTATATATATAAAAAATAAAAAAGATTCTGCAAAAAGACATATTTACCTGTCAGAGATGAAATATGGATTGAAACTGTGTGTGCCATCGGTGCAGTTATATTTAGATATTGTTTTGATTTGCTGAGATCTGCCGGATTAACCTGCAGCTAGAATACACTTTTAATACCCGTGCATTGTGTTATAGGGCTCAATTATTTAAGCCCTGTTATTTAACAGTCTTTGATGTCAGACAATAACTCAGTGGTTAGATGAGCTGGGGTTTCTGGGAAGTGACAAAGCGTACCATTTTTTATGTGTCTGATTTGGTGTTATGTAAAACTGTATTTAAATGTCATCTTGTCAAGGTTTAGATGAGAGTGTGATAACTGTGTTAGTTTGAATCCTTAACATCAAGAAAGCCACAATATTTCCTCTGATTTTACATCTGACAAAACACTAGGTAAACTCGGGTCGGGTCACGTCGCAAGATCTGAGTGTTACTCCACAACAGTTTCTCAGCCAAAAAAACAAAATATGTTTTGCTTTTTCACCACAAGGTGTGCTGGATTCGATAAGAAGTCTCCTCTTGCAGATCAAAACCACAGCTAAATCAAGTAGCGTGGTCTTCATAAAATCATAGGTCTGGGTGAGGGATACACAGGCTTTGATAAGAATGGCTTAAATCTATGATAAAGCCATCGGAAGAGTCTGCATTGAATTAAAAGTCTATCCTTTTTCTAAATGCATGTTATAGATCTTTTTGTAAACAATTCATTCGTGTATATTCGTGTACATCCATATATTTCTCTCTCTTTTTTTTTCTTTATTCGGATCTTTCGTTGAAAACGACAGAGTTATCTCTGGTGACGTATGCAGGACTTGTCCAGTCATTTAATCCTGGAACCTTGAATTCATCTGCAATCTCCACTTTTGCGTCCCACGTTGAAATTTCAAAAACCAAGTTCCTGTCCTACATTTTTTTCTTTTTCAATAATTACTTACACTCAGATGTATGGCAGATCTGTTGCTACTTTCATTTCATTGTGACTTATGCCGCAGGGTCCTTAAAGGATTAGTTCACTTTTAAAAAAACTTTTGCTGATAATTTACTCACCCCCATGTCATCCAAGATGTCCATGTCTTTCTTTCTTTAGTCGAAAAGAAATTAAGGTTTTTGATGAAAACATTCCAGGATTTTTCTCCATATAATGGACTTCAATGGTAGCCAAACGGTTCAAGGTCCAAAGGACAGTTTCAGTGCAAACTGCAAACTGTTCAAATGGTTTTAAATGACACCAGACGATGAATAAGGGTCTTATCAAGCGAAACGATCGCTCATTTAAAAAAAAAAATAACAACGTTTAAGTTTTATAAGCTCACATGCTCGCCTTTCTCTGTTCTGTGTGACTCTCCTGTTCGAACTCGTTCATCAAAATGAACAAATCTTTTTTCGAGACAATTCGTTCATTTCGGTCGTTAAATGAATCAAATGACTCGAAAAAAGATTTGTTCATTTTGATGAACGAGTTCGAACAGGAGAGTCACACAGAATAGAGCAAGGCGGGCATGTGAGCTTATAAAACTTAAACGTTGTTATTTATTTTTTAAATGAGCGATCGTTTCGCTTGATAAGACCCTTATTCATCGTCTGGTGTCGTTTAAAGCCCTTTGAACAGTTTGCAGTTTGCACTGAAACTGTCCTTTGGACCTTGGACCGTTTGGTGCCCAGTAAAGTGCATTATATGGAGAAAAATCCTGGAATGTTTTCATCAAAAACCTTAATTTCTTTTCGACTGAAAAAGAAAGACATGGACAACTTGGATGACATGGGGGTGAGTAAATTATCAGCAAAAGTTTTTTTAAAAGTGAACTTCTCCTTTAAGAAGTCTTCAATTCAGTTGTATCAAATTTCATAATTCATAAGAAGTCTTAAATATTTTAATTGATACAAGAAAGGTCTTGATTATCAAACAAATTGGATAAGATTAGCTATATATATATGAAGTATATATGTCATTTTTAATATTTAATTTATATTTAATATTTTAAAATACAATAATTGATAATTTTGGCTAATCCCTTTTCTTAAAAAAAATGTGTTTAAAATGAGGTTTATCATTCTATAAATCTTTTTGTTTTTGTCAGAACCTATTATTTTAACTATAAAGTTGTTTAAATCGTGGTATTACTGTCATTTTATGGTTTGCATGCCCACCCAAATGATATTATTTGTGCAGACCTTTAAAGAAAATGTCTTAAAAAAGCCTTAAAAAAACCCTGCAGATACACTGCCACAGGCACACAGCACAAGCTGCAGATTATACATAATTACACTGAGATTCAAAATTCCCACCACCTTGGAATAATTTGATCTCTGCAGTGATTGTTTTTTTAGGCTATAAAATTATTGTGGTCGAGCACTTTCTTTCATGTGTAACGGACAAAATCGGTGTAATGTTGAAGAGATGTAAGTACTAATTCCCTCGGTTTCTCGCTCTCTAGGTGCCAGTCCCACTCGGAAAGCAATCAACAAAGCCGTTGCAATTTGAATATGCAAATAATGCTTTCCGCCCATTCTAAAGGAAAGATGGGCTACACCGATGTTCCGTGCACTCGTCTTGACCAGGGAACCACCTTTCCTCCCCCTTCTTTCCGAGCCCACTCCGTACCCATTATCCCCTCAGTTCAGGGACCTGATTTTGGGGATGGAGGCGGGAACAAGCTGCACAACAGGGGTAGGGGAGCTTCCAGCTACAACCTAATCAATCCTGAGGCTGTGGCAAATCCCAGCCGATCACTTGCCAGCTCCTCTACGATGGTGCAGGATCCACAGACACTCACCTGCTCCGAGTCTGCACTGATGTCAAGGGGCCAAATCAAACACAAAAGCCTTGTTACCTACACAACGGCCTTGGGATCAGACACAAGCTCTAGGAGAGCAAAGACTGTAATTTCTATGAGCGTACTGGGATCAGGGGTGAAAACCACGCAGTCCGCTGCCAAACTGCTGTCCAAGGCTACCGGAGGAGAGGAGGATCGGTCCGCTTTCGGGGAAGCGCAGCAGGGGGGCGGTTCACAAACCCCATTTGTGGGGGACGAAAAAGACAGCTCCTTTTCCAACGGGGTTAGAGGTGTGGCCTGCCTGACATATCCCAAGAGCTGATTGGATAAATGAAAAGATTGCTTCGGAAACTCCATGTTGGTGTGGATGGGACTGCGACGTCCCCGCTTGTGCAAGACACTTACTTTTGGAACTATTTTACTGCATTGTGAACTACTGACAACCGAACTTAAAACACTGCATTACTGACGACACAATGTGAATAGATGACTTGGTGGGATGTTGATCTTAAGAGGTACCGAAAAGGATTTATATGCCACTATTTAACAAAAAGCTTCAATTTAGAAACCAAATAGTGTGTCATCTCAGTGTTGTTTCTCTACTGTAAAGAAGAAAAAAATATAATAGATGTCAAAACTATATGTATGTCATATATTCCATGTATATGACATACCGAGTGACAAAAATAAAGATGCAAAACATGGTAATGCAGAAGCTTTTTTCCAATAACTGCTGTTCTATAATCTCAGCCCAGCTCTGTCTTTTTTGTCTGTTTTGCTTGAGGTCTTGAGAAGAAAACGGCAGTTTCTGAATAAAATCTGAATGTCACCCTGTCATTTGATCAGAGAGTATCTGCCCGTAACCGTACGATCGATGTTGTGTATCTCACACCTTCTGTTTTCAGCAGAGAGCTCGCTGAGCGCCGCAACCAGGTATCTGCAACTATCGCCTGAAACGATCCAACGAACGTGCTGAACGGAGAGAAACCGACAGAGTCACCGTCTGTCTCCATGGCAACAGAGATCGGATGCGGCAGACTCTCTATCCAACAAGACCATCAACGGATTTAATCATTTACTTGTTTATCTCCTGTGAAGTAGCTCTTGCTAATTAAGCCCAGACTCATTATTTTGCATCAGCTATTTTGAAACCGCAAAAGGAGGGCTAAAAAAGTTTCCTTAACTAGCTCGTGGTTTTTTGTTTTTTTTTCAGGTGAGGGTGGAATTAATCAGCAGAAAGATTAAAGCACGGTGTCATTGATGTCTCTCGTCGTGTTTACCTCAAACGAGGGTGACACGAGCGAGTCGCACCCCGAACGCTTTATGAATTATCGGGCTAATTTTCTGAGCGTGAGCCACAGTGTGAGTTGACATTGTAATCCAAACAAGAAGGGAAAAAACGCAACCGCTGGCTGTCTGCGCCAACAATTTCTTCCACTAGAGCCCAACAAAGCAACATTTGGCAGGTTTTTTTTTAATTAATTCGCAGACAAACATGTTTGTTTTGTTTAATGCACCGGGTCTCTCCACAGATCTTGTGTGAGCCATTGGCTTTGAAACTCATAATGAGTGATCCTTTCATTTTGTGAGAACATTACACATGTTCATCCAACAGCTTAATATTCAATCTCAAGTCAATCTTTGCTCTGGTGGGTGAAAGCCACGAAAACACTGATGTAATGTTCAAAGCGCCAGAGTCCTGTGTGCATGTGTTGTTGTTTTTTTGGTAGAACACCGCAGACCTGTGCTATTGCATCTGTTTGAGTTTCTGAAGAGCAGGCCTATTTCTCCTCTATGCTGATATATTAATAATGGCAGGATGTTTCTTCAGGCAGGCTTCTAACATTAGAGAGAGTACAACAGTGCAACAGTGGTAGACCAACAGATGCTGGTGAGAAATGAGTGCAGTGCTGTATACAAAGCGCAGAGAATAGACGCAATGAGGGCAGTGGCAAGAAGTGAAACGTATCTGTCACCTGGAATGAGCTGCAGTAACTTATAAATTACTCTTTTCGCAGTTATGTTATCTTTGGCTTGTCTAGTTACATTGTTTTGATTTGTCTGAAGAATTCACTCTCTCTAGACTGTTCGCACCGGCCCAGAATAAAATGTATAATTTTCTAATAACCGAAACACTTTTTCAATTCTATTCACAGCCCGAAACGAAAGACGCTTTCTGATGGATGACTAGTTTTTTCATTATTTAATAGATAAAAGATAATGAATAATGAGTGCATTCAGTGATATGTTAAATAACAGATTGCTTATTTTAAATAGCTTTGTTGGATTTGAAGGATGTGAAGAACTTCTCATGTTCAGAAACAAACACATTTTATATTACAAATGGGATGCTTAAGCAATATCACTTGCAAATCAGTGCAGTGAAATGGAAGTCATTTGCACTGTATTTATCATATGATAAATGTGTCATAAAATGTTATTATTGCTAAACATGTTAACGGCATCATTTATATTAAAGGCTCAATCAGTAGTTATTTAGCTACTACTGGTCTTTGTGTACTTTAAGTATCGATACCATAATGGTGTTAGACGCTGCGCTGTCATCAATTGATGTGGTTCAGAATGATCGTCGAAAGGTAGTAGGTGTGCCAAAAGGTCTTTACAATTGCGAAAAGTGTCGAAAGCTGCCTTTTAGGGTGTAGGGGTTGGGTTAGGGTAGTGTCCAGTCCTGCTCCTGGAGGGTCTATGTCCTGCAGAGTTCATCTCCAAACCCATTTAATCACACCTGAACCAGCTAATCAAGGTCTTGCTAGGCATTGAAACTGAAACTTCCAGGCAGGTGTGTTGAGGCGAGTTGAAGCTAAACTCTGTTGGACAGTGGCCCTCCAGGACTGAGTCTGGACACCCCTGGTTCATTTCTGTTGTAGCATTGTATATTTCAGCATGCCCACTGCAACCTGCAGCTATCCCTGTCTCATTAATTACCTTACCTGTCCAAAAAAACAAAACAAAAAAAAGCAACTTTTTCGGAAAATACTGCAGAAATAATTTTCTCATCAAAAATAGAAAGGTACAAGACTGAGTGCTTATTAACTTTAATGAGGAAAATAACAACATTCCCATGAAGCATTGTGAATGACAATTGAATTCAACATAAATATAAAACTGATTTAAAGATTATAAAGACACAATATATTTTACATTCATTGCAAAATATGTATGTATTTACCCTGGTTATTATAGTTAACTAAAACTAAAACCATAAAAACCTTCACCACTTGCAATAAAATAAACCTGGACTAGAATAAAATAGTTTTAAAATAAACTTAAAAACATTTTTTTCTTTTTTCAAATCAACTTAGATAATGTAGGTGGTTCAGATAACATAATATTTTGAGTTTATGTTGATTAAATCAATCTCCATTGAATTAACTCACATTTTTAATTCAATGAACTCAAAATTTTAAGGCAACCACTTTACTTACTTTTTTAAGTTGAATCAACATAACGTTGCCTATTCTAAAATTTCTCATTTTCATATAGTTTAAATTGATATACTAAAATAACTACAAGTAAAACGTAAATTAAAAAATACTAAAATCTATATAGACATATTACACATAACAAAAAATCAAAAAATGACAAAAATTTCAAAATTACTAAAACTTTGAATAAAATTAAAATGAAAACAGAAAAAAATAATTAATTGAAAATATTAACTCCTGGTTTATACAGATCTTCTTCGCTTGTTTTTGGATCCGGAGACACTGTACTATTTCAGAAGATGTACGAAGAATGTTCAGAACAGCGCCCCCTACCATAAAACTCATCATTGGCAGAGAAGCGTTGTTATAAATGATGCAATCTTGTCAATGGCAGGAAAATAGTTAATAAAAACTGTAATACCATCTCAATGATCCTAAAATAAAACGAATATTTACAACTATTCAAGTAGTCTGAGACTGTAAGGAGATTGGCCCGATTATGTCGTATAAACGTGATTGTTATAAAAAGTATGTTAAAATAGAGGTTAGCTCATGGCTTCAGACATTGATGCTGTAAGGCCCGACTCGATCGATCCAATGAGCTGGTGAAGGTCTCTGCGTGTTACTGTCTTTCCGCGTGGCAAAGTAATTTGATTAAATGAAATACATTTTCTCATGTATTATCCCGTTATTTCATCTGACTCCAATCCATAAATGAAAAGATTTTAAAATCTTTAAAAAAAGAAAATTTGGAAATTTGCATTCAGAGGTTACACCTTTTGAGAAGAGGAGGCCATTTCCCGGGAAGTCACACCCTTGCAAGATATTTCTAAACTATTAACCCTCTGGTGTTCTTCGGTCGTTTCCGACCGGAATTTTTTAAATAAAAAAATGTTAAAAATCGTAGCTTCATCGGAATGGTACGAAACTTGGTGACTTTTATGGTACTTAGTATATGAACACACAAAAAAATTGGGGACATGATTTGAAAAGTCTAAGTGGTCGTAAAAAAAATAGTCACACTCATGGCCTTCGGTCAAAAATGACCGGCCATAGGATATGAATGGGAAAATGGCAAAAATATGAAAATACAGAGGTTTTTTGTGCGTACAATCTACAAATCAGCCACGATGCAGAAAAAAAGCATAACACAGTGAAGGGGTGAATCTCTAAAACATCAAGAGTGCAAAACAGACAAATACACTCACACACACACACACTTATACACACAAAAACACACGCACACACAAATGAACGTGTGTCATTGCAAAAGCTAATTTTGGGAAATGTGTGAAATAAAAGCAATTATTCATCAATGTAAGGAATAAAAAGCACACAGATATGAAAGCATGAGACTGTAAGCCATCAAGGTTGCAAAATAGACATGCTCACACACACACACACACACACAGACACACACACATAGGGAAATATGAGACTGGTGAAACTGTAACAGAGAAATGTGAGAATATGTGAAATCAAATCAATGAATCAAATAAAGGGGAGACATTGGGTCCAAAATGCAAAGGTCACACACTATGTATCTCTCTCTTGAACACACGCACACACACACACACACACAGTGTAAGATCAAACGATGGAATTCTTAGTAACCTCCAGGCCTATTGCAGCACATATGTGCTCTTTTGATGTGTTTATTAGAGGTTGAATTCAAATCAAATACTGTCAAACTACCCATACTACTTCTGAATAGGATGTCTACTTCATAAATTGTATGAAAATTATGGAAATACATGGTTCAGATCACTCAAAACATATATGAAAATGGAGGCGCCCTTATATGGTCAGTAAGGAAGCTTGGCGTTCCATGCATCTAGTGAAAAAGTTTGGTATGCGCCAAAATAAAATCTTGACTGAAAGCTTATTTTTTGAGATATCAACCTAAAATTTGGAACACAACTTCTTAAGATTTTTGGCTTTCATTTTCTTGCAGTTTTAGAGTAAAATATATTTTATAATATATA